AATTCAGAACTCAGTCAAAATAAGTTCAAACGGGCTAAAAATGTTTTCATAACCCCACTTTTGATCGCAGAATCCAAAAATATGAAAAAATATATACCTTAATTTCGACCATTCCACTGACCTCGGAAGCAATGCTCGACTGAGTCGCGAAGTCTCTCTTAAGTTTTCTCTATAGTGGTACCCATTTTAGTTCTAGTCTTGTTTTTTTAGTTCATAAACCATCAATAACAACATTTGAAGATCTTTATAATGATCTCTTATACGAAATATACAGTTATTTCACTATCAATGAAATCTGTTATTCATTTTATAATATTAATTCATCTATGGATAATCTTATCAACAATTATCATCTTCCATTACGTCTTCATTTAGTGGATGGGAATGATCAAAAATACTTCTCTATCCATATTCGACCACATATACATTTAGAACAAATACAATCAGTTGACTTAGGTTATTTGTCAAAATCATTCAATTTAAATTTATTTAGTAATTTAAAATCGTTAAAATGTTATGTTGGAGATAGTGATGATGTTAAACAATTAATAGTACCAAATCAGCAGTTAGAATACATATCAATGGTTTTATCTGAAGAACAATCGGATCAAAATAATTTTTCTAGGATACTAGAAATAATATTTAGTAGATGCTCCAAGTTAAAAACATTCGTTTTTATGTTATATGCTCCATTTGGTAATGAGACAATATGGTATGATCACTTATCACAATTAACCACAAGAACAACATCACTTCAAAATCTGATTATTCATGGATATGACTTTGAATTCAAATCTCTATTGTCATTATTAGATTTTGTACCACATATACGCTATCTGCAGGGCGTATCGTGTCATGTAAAAAGGGCGGTCGAAAGAACGTGAGAGCTTTCACCATCTGTCCGTTTTTCTCTATTCCTGTCAAGTCAAATAGTACATGCTCGCAACACTTTGTAGTCAATTGTACGATGTTACATATTTCTAAGTATGAACACACCAATAAAAGTGCTTTCAAGTGTCATAGTAATTTGTCACTATATATCCGTTCTGTCTTAACCTCAAATTTCCGGGTGTGTACTTGGAGTGCAAAAGCAGCTTTAGCGTGACTTTCTGGCATGGCCAGAAATATATTTGATAACATGCGGGTTTGTGTGTGCGCTGACAACCGCACAAAAAATGCATCTTATCATCACTGTATGGAGTTTCGGAAGTGATTAAGAGAAAACCTGCTTGGTTTTTACGTTCTGTTGATTATCCAACGCAACTTAAACCTGTAAAACAAATCGCGCGCAGAATTTTAGACAAACTCACGAAGAAACAAAAATACTATAACTGTATAAGAGTAGAACTAAGAAACTACCAAACAAAAAAGTAAATCGATGTGTTGGTCCGATGGAAGAAAAGTGCTCTTATCATCAAAACGTTTAATGTTGGTCACTACTGTTTTCGACACTTATTAACTACTTTCTGAGGATGTGATGAGAATCACAAAAATGGAAAAAAATTAGCAAAAAAATAGCGTTACCGATTCACGTTATGGACTAACCAACCTTTGACTTCGAAATTCTATAGCTAATCTGTGACCCACAAACTGCTTGAGCTGAAACTTCTACCAGACATGTATTTATTGGATTCTTGGCCGGAAAAGAGTTTACCTCGTGAGACTCACTTACAGAAAAGCAGAAGTTTCTTGATTGCTTTTCACTCAAATTGTATAAAGATATAGGTTATTGACCACAGGGAGCACAAATTTGAATTATAGTGTTTTGAGCAAAAGAAATATTCTTTTCGAAATAAACTGAGCTTACTTTTGAACATTTTTTCAAAGCTCACTACTTTCCAACGCTGAAAGTTGGTTTAGAATGACAAAATTATTTGTTAGAGATGTAAAAGGATTTGCTCTATCCGCATCAATGAAATGAGAGTTGGCTAGAAACTGAAATAAGAGGGAAAGATATCACATGTTGTTCGAAAGTAAGCCAGTTTGTACACCTAAGAACCTTCCATCCAACGAGTTATGTATGTAGATCGAAGTAGTTTCCCACGCTCTATTTGAATATAACCTTAAGATTGGAAAAGATTGCGTAAAGTGACGAGAGTTGGCAGAGACTCAAAATATGAAGGCCAATTTTGGTTTCGCAACTAAGTCATTTTGCAAAAACGGTCATAATACAGATTATCTTCGATTCTCTATCCATCTGATCTATTTTATGGGGTATTCGAAAAAATGTGTTTGGATTCCTTTCAGGAGGCCTCCGGCCAAAGGCCGAATTCGGCTCTTTCACCGTCGGTCAGGCCACAGCTGGCATTCGAACGAAAGAAATTGTATTTTTCCAGGAGCTGAATTGACAGTTTTGTTCTTGACGCTGCTTCTAACCATGCGATTACTTTCGGAAAAACCTGGGAGAAAAAAATGCTCTTACCACCCTTTTGGAGTGAAAAAGATGTTACTCAATTTTCCTGAAGATGCCACAAAGCTCACCAAACCTGCTTTTCAAAAAGCAACGCATCTGTATTAGTTACCTCATTCCTTCCTCTTCTAAAGCGAGACGTCTATGTTGCATCACCGGTAATCAACGATACAGACGTACCACAATCACCGTCGTCACTTGTTTACTCTAATTTACTGATATTAAAATTAGCTTTATCATTAACTAAATTTAGTAGATTGGAAAAGTTTCTAAAATTATTTCCTAATTTACAACAATTACATTTATTCGGTTTATTATTCGTAAATGATATCAATTATTTAGATGCTGTCCAATGGCATCGTCTGCTATCAAGTTTGTTGCATTTATTACGTTTGGAAATCAATCTGATGGTTTACTTACATGACGAAGTCGATAATAATAGCAGTATTCGAGAATTAAAGCAAATATTCGACAGAAATTCGTATCTTCAAGAGCGGAATATCTACTTGGAATGTAATGACAATAACGGAAATGACAGGCGAATTATGGGAGATTATAGGAAATGATAATACCTACTATCGTGTCGAATAGAAACATGAAACATCTTCGAGCAAGTCGGTGGTACGTTCTACTGGCAAGTGCAAAGAGTGTCTAAGTCTCTCATTTAACGAATCATAAGCTTAAGTAGTCTTTTCATACTAACTGTGAACTTTTTATCTGGAACGGAAAGAAATTTAAGTCGCCCAATTCACAAGTCCTTTTTGAAAGAAGCCAACTGGAAGTGTGTCATACTTATTGCAAAAGCGTCATATAAAAGAATAGTGGAATCCCATTGGAGTCCGGTAGAGTCCTTAAAAGTCTTATGAGAAATCATCGAAATTATCCTAGAAAATTACCTTACAAGCTCTCTTTTATTAGTCTCGACCTCAGAGAGAAAAGATTCTTTTTTTAAAATTTAATTCTTGATTGGAACACATATCTTTTTTTATATTTTATCTCTCTCAAATTCAGCTGATTCTATAATAATTAGTCTAATAAAATATCTCTTCTATAATGCACAGACACAGAAGAAAGACAAAAAATCAAGTGACATTTTCTTTAATCCTTTTTTATTCATCTGCATTGCTCACAATCGTTTATCGTTTAGCCCTCCACTTTAGTTGTCTATTGACAATAACTGATCAGACGGTTTTATACACATATTTTGTATCGAAATTTATTTAAACTTCCAAATAAAAAAGTTTTAATCTGGCTCATTTACATAGGAAAATGATCTACCAGAAAAATCTGCTATCTTTTAAAAGCTATTATAAAAATACTTGCTAATCGTTTTTTCAATATTCATCACATTATTATCAAAATCTGACTGTCATCATCAGAATGTCGGTAAGGGTTTGAGCATCTATGAACCCAAGAGAAAAACGGACCCATAATTTCGAGTGTACTCGAAGTAAAGCTCATTGAGCCGTGCTCGTGACGATCGAAAACACTCAATTTGATTTTTTTCTCTAAAAAAAAGGAGCCTCAACCATTGAATATCTACGGACAACCATTATTTGATAATAGACGTGTCACATTAATAGAGAGAAACGTTTCTTCAGTATTTCTCACCACTTCTGGCGGCTTTTTTGTGAATATTGAGTTTTCTATCTTAACTATCTACGGTATAGTGCAGATCGGTTGACAGGTTGAGCAGATAAAACAGAGTATATCTTGATATACTGTAGTAGTCTGGATAGATTTTGAGTGAGTTATGTAGCTTTTAGTTTCTGGTGAAAATAGCCAAAAATGGGTTAGAGCTTTTCACTCAGTTCTTGCATTTTGTTCTGAAAACTAACATTGCCACGAGGTTCAGCGTGGTCAATAACCTATGTTTTTGTACATTTCTGAAGGTTCCAGAACGAAGAATATAGAAGTCATAAGGCTTTGGGCAAAACCTCCAAATCTCCGAAACCAAGCAAAATGAAACTTTTGTTTAGACCTTATTTTGTGGAGGACACTTTGGGATATCTATTTTGGAAAGAACCGATAAATTGCTATGTAAAATTGCTGACCAAGGAGCTGATTTTTCAGAGATCTGTTGAAAATCCGGTTTCAGCAATTGATTCAAAAAATGTTTCTGCTTATAAAAATATAGGGTACACTGTTCTCTTTCGACTGCCCGGAATCGCAAGTCTCTATCTTTTACCGCCTTTGAGTTATACAAAAAATTATACTGGCCTTATATTTTGGGATGGATAATAGTATAGTGCGAGCTTTGTAATAAATTTATCTCAGCAACCGTTAATCGTAGAATACAGGAACATTTCATTCTGAAGAGAATTGTTTGAAATAAAATATATCAAATGATACTAACTATCGGTGGGTCGGGAAAAACTCTAGTATATCGTTCGAAAGAGGCATGATTACCACCAAATGTTGTTCAAAATATTTTATGTACCGAGTTTTGACATACCGAAGTTTCGAAGATTGGTTCTAATGCATCTCGATGTGCTCTTTTAAGTGAAACTAATTCTAAAAAATGATTCATTCCACTGACCGGAAGAAAAGTCCTTTTTAAATTTTCTTAGCGATTTTGTAGCAAACTGCTTACCACCAGCAGTACCCATGAAATAAAATTTTTTTGACGTTATCATCGGATAGAGTTCATTTCGTGGTATATATGGTAAAAGAATCTCCACTTTGTCTCTCATACTAGTTGAGAAAATTAAAATTTACTTTAGTATCCACAGCAAACATCAGCTTTCTATAATGAGCGACACCTGTTAGAAAAAAGCGTATATTCTTGAACGAAGCAATAGCTTGAACTTGAACTTTCAGGTTATTCCTAAATGTGTTTGATCCTCATACCCTTAAAGTTTGAGCGAAATCGGTCACATCTTGGATGCAACGTACCTTGCAGCACTCGTGCAGTGATTCCTAGTAATATGCATTTTAGAGAAGTGAACAAGCCACAACAAAAATCCAGGTTAATGTGACTGGACGGTATGAACTACTTTTAATCTTTCTCGCTATTTTTACTTACGGTGCTACAGCTCGATTACTTCTCTTGACTTTCGTCCAGTTATAAACAGTTGTCTGTTTCGAACAGTACTACACCGAAAAAGTTATAGCAAAACGATGTGTGCTACATGATTCGAAGAGAATATCATAATATAATCATTTTTTTCCTTCATACTACTGTCGACTACTCGAATATTACGGTATATTCCTTTGTTTTTGTTGTTACTAACACACTACATCTATTTCTTTTCAGTTAACTGTAGAGTCACCGAGTTCTCTTTCTTTTTGCTTTGAAACTAATTCAGTCAGTTCTACCTCTTACTAAATCAACTAGAAAGTGGTCACTGTAAAGCCTTAGCGGTCCGAAAGTACGGAAATCAGATAAGAATCTTATAAAAATCTTACGAAAATCGTATATGCTCCAGCCGAGAGAAATGCATACTGTAATTATAAGATTCTTATAGTTTGCAATATAAGAATCTTATAAGTTTCTTACATACGAATCGTATAAGCACGGTATGCATTTCTATCGAATGTAACATAAGATTCTTATAAGATTTCTTTAAGAGTCTTATCTTGGTTCTATAAGATTCCTATAGAAATCCTATATAATATTTAATCTCTAGGGAGGTAAGTATCAAATCTCGAGTGAATTCTTTTAGCAAAACCATGTGAAAGAGAGGAAGAAACTTTTAGAAAACGATTGAAAGAAAGATTTTCCAGTAAGTAGAACGATTACCATACAGGCATTTACTTTTAGGCTTCCTCAATGTTGTTATCATGCGGTACTGTTGGTCCAGCGAACTGTTCTCCATCTTGAACTACATCCGATAGCTACATTAGCCTACAGAAAAAAGTGTGAACAATCGAATTCAAGTCCGAACGTGAGTTTGGATTAGACATGTGCAGGGTAGCTGTTTCTGAAGCCCTGGCCCTACCCTGTGAAAAATTGTTGTACCCTCCCCCTACCCTACCCTGTGACTTCTGAGCCCTGGCCAGGGTAGGGTAGAGTAAGGGCGCCCTGCCCATCCCTAGTTTGGATACAGTTAATACTACATGTGTCTTAGTTTTTGGATTTCAACAGATACAGTATTATGATAAAAATATAACTATTTGGTGCTTGACGAGATTCAAACTCGTACCATTTATATTTGCATCAGCATACGCACTATCACGCAGATATATATGAGTGTAGAAGACTATTGTATGTTAAAAAAACTAAGGCACGTGACTATTATTCGAATATCTCAACAACGAAACGAGCTAGTGACCTGGGGTTTTCACCATTTTATAGATAACACTTTAAGCTATGGTTAAGCTAATGAGAAGTCAAAAATTCGAGTTTTTGGGCGGTGTACATCATCGATCTTGCAAAACGTTACTTTTTTTCCGAAAATTTCTCTAGTGACTCATGTGTTTTTCTAAAGGAAGATGAATGCAGTCCAGAGTACCCTTTATCCAACTGCTTTAATCCGAGGTCGGTATCTGCCGCCGTTCAGGTTTTGATGGGATCGATCTTTTTTTTGTGTTTTGAAGTATGGTAATGTTAAAAAATACCCGAAATATACGTAATTGACCATGTGAATCTATTGGCAATGTTTATTTTTCATTTGAGAATCTTTTTCTGAACGAAATTTTCAAATCAGCTGTGTTTTCGTATGAACTGAGAATTGATAACTACCAATGAATTAAAAATCTTTTATTGCAGAGTATAAAAATGCCGACACGGCGCGATTCTTCTTCTGTTGAAAAGTCTCTTATATTTCCAGTGACCAAATTTGTTGAATCAGAAAACCATCGTGTTGTTATTCCATTCAGCAATATTAATGATCGATTGGCCGAAATGTTCGGTATATCATGTCGAACGATTTCTAGATTTAAAGAACTAAAACATACACTAAACCAATTTTACCATGGAATATGTGTATTACTTTCTCTTGCTGCTGAAGTTGTTGTTTCGCCATTTGATCTTAACTTTTTTGATGGAGATTCATCATCCAATTCTTGTTTCACACTGTGTTTTAGTTCTTTAAAGCTAGAAATCGTTCGATATGATACACCCAACATTTCAACTAACGGATCATTAACATTGTTTAACATTACCATACTTCAAAACACCAAAAAAAGATCGATTTCAGCAAAACTCTAGCATTCCTGAACGGCGACAGATATCGGCCTCGGACTTAAGCAGTTGGGTGGATGGTAGTCTGGACTACATAAATCTTCTGTCAGATAACCATAGAAGTCACTAGAGAGACTTCCGAAAAAAAGTAACTTTTTGAATGACCGATGATCGCCGGATTTTTAAGCTCCCATTAATTAAATCATAACTTAAAGTGTCCTCTGTAAAATGTTGAAAACTCCAGGGCGCTAGCTCTTTTCGTTATGCGTAAGTCTTTTGCCTACATATTGGTAAAAACTGCCAGCGTCCAGCACTTTTTGCCAAAAATTATTGACAAAATGCTCATGAATTTCAATTGTATTGTAGATTGCGAAGCAATGTTCACTTTATTCAAATTTATCGTCATTCATCTAATGACATTCCAGTATTCAATATTTGCTTACCCAAAGCCTCCTACTAATCAAGTAATGGAAGAGAACTACTCACGATTTGTTATATTAACTACCACAAACAGTTATAATGACAGTATATCATTTACTTCTAACGATAATGTCAATAATATTAATAAAATAATTTACAATATTTACATTGTGTTTGGGTTTATTTATGGTCTACTTTTGATCGATCGTCTTGAGCATATTTTCATTCAAACTTTTCGGAGAAATAACATTCATCCACTACCATCACCATCTGCACTGTTTCAATTAGTTGAACAGAAATATCCAATGGTTACTATACAATTACCAATGTTTAATGAAACAGCATTCTGTGCATCAGCTATTGATTGCGCCTGTAAACTGGATTGGCCGAAAACATCACTGTTTATTCATGCACTTGACGATTCGACAGACAAGAAAACAACGGATCTAATTGATAATCGAGTTAATGAGTAGAATAACCGTGGATTACAAATAGCGGTTCAACGACAGGAAGATCGTCATGGATTTAAAGCGGGATCATTACGTCAAGCGATGTCATCTAGTCGTGATGCCTAATATATGGCTATATTTGATGTTGACTTTTTACCACAATCGGATTTTCTAATGAAAAGTGCTCCGTATTTGATAGATAATCCTAAAGTTGCCTTTATTCAAAGTCGTTGGACCTTCTTCAATTCGAAACAGTCACTTTTAACACGAATGCAAGAGATGTCACTTAATTATCATTTTAAATGTGAACAGACAGTTTGTTGGTTATCAATATTTTTTAATTTCAATGGGATAGGTGGTATAGTCAATGTATTGGATGGCATAAAAAATTGTATTGTTGCTGGTTTCTTCTACGTAATTTCACTCACATGGTTACATTTATGTACTTTTTAATTTTTGCACCGTTACAGATTTTGTTACTTGAGAGTCAATTTACTAAATGGATAAACATTTATTTACCGTTAATCGGGTCATTGATAATCGTTATATTTACACCAGATGAATGGTATATGGCGTTTTGCAATATTTTGTTTAAAAATGCAATGGCTTTACATAAAACAGAAGCTGTTCTATCAGGGATGTTTAATCATGGATCCACTAGACAATGGATTGTTATACCTAAATATGGATGTAATATTTCGAGCGGTGTTAACAAGAGTATATTGAATTCAATTATACAAAATGTCAAATCACTTAGAATACACAAACGAAACGTTTTGATGTGCATATTCTTGTTTATTGTATCTTAATTTTATTTTCTTCGTCAGCAGTATGAAATGTGTGTCTATATTCTGGCAACTAGCATTATGTACATGATTTTTGCACTCGGCTGCCCTGGACAACAATTAGAATGAATGTATGAAAAATCGCATGTAATTATAAATAAATACAAGAGGCTTTAGACTATTAATCGGACGCAAATAGATTATCATACTCTCAACAAGAAAAAGATGTGATACAGAACTATGTTACGTTCGAACACAGGATGTTCTATCAATGAATTCACTCTCATTTGAACTCTTAGTAAGATGCGCTTAATGGAGCGGTTTAGCAAAATTATTTGTGAGACATATTATCGACCATTCGATAGAGAATGTCAAACTGATTAAGAGAATGTAAGGTGTCGGAAATTCAAAGGGTTAGTGATAAAATGAATCTGACCGAATTATACATAGTTGGATAGAGCACGTCGAGCTGATCAAGAATATCACCTTTAAAGATTTTTGACGTCAACTGTACAGCAGAAAACTTGTAAAAACAGAAAAACGTGAAAAACCGACTGTTTCTGAGAAACCGCATGG